TATATATATATATGGATAACAGGTTTTTATAGATATTGCATATTGGCAGATCTAATTGTAAAAAAAAAGAGTTTCTCATCATAAAAGTTTCTAGCAACCAACAAGAAATAATAGCTAAACAAAAGTACGACAGTTCTGAAAGCCAAATAAATAATGAGAATATTGCCCCAAAATAGACCCTTGGTCTATAATTATTGGAATTAGACCATATTTTTATTTATAAAAACAAAGCCCTGAGAATTTAAAAACTAGAAATTGAAAAAGTACCCATTTTATTAAATATACTAATAAGCTCGATCGATCTTTCAAATAAAAATATTTTATTTTACATCTATTGGTCAAATTTATCTTTCGTGCAGAATTTTCCGGTCAACGCATTCTAAGAAGACCGTTGTCTTCTCCCCAACGTTTTGGCATCTGGCTCAGACGAAAGAAAGCTTAAAGCCTCACTGTAAAGTAGAAACAAGAAAGCCATGAATACGGCAGAGCTAGCTTCTTCATCCATCCATTACTTTTTCTCAGCAAAACTATCATTCAAAGTTTCCAAAAAGAAGACAATAAATATCACATAAATATATTAAAAAAAAAACAATATATTATGCATCTCAGTAAGTGATTTTAGGATTTTCATCTAATTTAGTTGATAAATATTTTAAAATTTATAATCAAATTTTAATTTAATAACAATATAACTGTCACTCCAATTTTTAATAGAAACAGAAGTAACTCCATCTCTACAACTTCACTCAATGAAGGATCTGTTCTGAAAAGAAGCTCCATTCAATAGTGTATTGAATGCCCACCCATGCCATCCTACCTCTATTTATTGCCCACATGGCCAACCCACATCTACCTTGTTTTCCCTTTCCCTCTCTCATCTTCCTTGAAAACAATATCATCCCTCTCTCTCTCTCTCTTTAATGTCCCCACAACACCAAACTCTCTCTATCTGTCTGTGTGTTTCTCAATCTCCTCAGCAAACTAGAAGGAAATGGGAAGGAAATTGCTCTTTAACTCTCTTCTCTTCTCCAATTCTTCTTCTACTTCATCTTCCTCTTCTCCTCCATGTATTTGGCCTTCTTGTAGCAAACCAAGGACTGATTCCTTCAGAGTCTTAACCTCACCTCTCCTCACTATCTCTAACTCACTGGAGTCTTCAGCTGAAGAAGCTTCAGAGAGCTTCTTGGCAGAGAAATTGACGGAGAAGACTGCGGCGGAAGTAGTGTTAGATGGGCTTCGATCCGACAGGCTTTTCTTCGATCCGAGTGGCGGCGAAACCAGGTCGATAACCTCGGGCTTCGATGGAGGAGTGGCGGTGGCAATGGAGTCGACAGACCCTTATAGGGACTTCAGAGCTTCTATGGAAGAGATGGTGGAAGCTCATGGAGATAGAGAGTGGGAATGGTTACAAAACATGCTTGTCTGGTTTTTAAGAGCAAATGGAAAGGGGAATCATGGCTTAATAGTTGGAGCTTTTCTTGATTTGGTTGTAGGTTTTGGTGCTTCTTCTCCTTCTTTCTCTTCAGCTCCTAATGATAAGAACCCTCTTTGTTCATCATGTTCCTCTAACTCTTCATATATCTTTGAGATTGAAGAGGTAGGGGTGAAGAGAAGTGGAAATGGGTAGTTGTTTTTTATTCTTACTTTTATTATTTTGAAAATTTATTGTGTACATCTAAAAGAATTATGAGATCATATATTATTTTAGTTATGAAGATCAGTTGGGAAGTATACCTAAATTGTGTGACAACTATTTATATTAGATAAAAATTATTGAATGTTATTTTTATTATATTTCTTTAAAATTCATATTTTGACACTAAAGATATTCAAAAGAATGTATATTTAAACATTAAATTAATTATTATAATTTTTATCTTATTTTTTAGACATAACAAAAAACAATATATATAATTGGGCTTTTCATTACAAAAACTTGATCAACGGGCAGGTCAAATCTAGGGCTATTTGTATTGATTGAGCTTCAAATATTTTTTAAGGGCTATGGTCAAGTCTAACCCTGTTTTACAACCCAAAATTTTAGCCAACTCAACTTCAAATTTATTAACTACTATCAGCAAGCCGACCCGGCCCGTAAACTTAAGAATATTAACTTTTTTTTTGTAATTTTCTCATTATCTAAAGTGAATCACATAAAATAATAATAGAAACTATTTCCAATGTCAGTTATGTAGAGAAGATCAATAATGATTTACAATGATTGTGCAATGTGTATTGTAAGTTTGGTTGCATGTTGCAATCAAGCAACAATGGGAAATGGAGAAGATCTTTAATTTATGAGAATATGTTTGAAGCTTTAGATGAAGTGTAGTGCCTAAACTAATATTTATAAGAAGGTGGTTGCTTCTTGTAAACAACAAAGGAAGAAGAAATCACAAGGAATCCAATGGGTGGTTAAACTACAATAAATATTAGAACGGGCTTTAAGCTTCATAACTCTATTTTGGAATTTTATTTAAATGCCTTTAATTCCATTGAATATAATGGTTTTGAAGATGAAATAAAAATATTGAATCCTCGAAAGATGGTTGGCCATACTTTATTTATCATAGACTATGGTAATGGTGACGTAATATAATTTTTATTTAGACTACATTTTCTTCATATCTACGACTTAGGCTTCATTTGTGATGACTTTCTTACTGCTTCTTAAAACAGTTTTTTAGTACAAAAATTTTAGTTTGTGTACTAAAAAGCTGCTTCAAGAAGTAATAATAAAGCTGTTACAAACAAAGCCTTGATATTTCGTTCAGATTATCAAAACTAGCTTTAAAGAAGTTTAAATAAAAGTTGATCACACAAAATATATAAATACATTATAATCAAAATAGTATTTGTTTTGGTCAAATATTTATTAAATGGCTTATGTTGCACTTATCCTACATCAATACCCCTATATGCATCCAATAGCTCTTAGGCTAGCTTATACAACTCATTCGAAGGCAAGTAAGCATTTTATTCATCAAGGATATCTAATAAGAAATGTTTGCTAACAATCACCATATATATGTAAGTATAATATATACCTTAAGGAAGATGATCAAGTAGAAGGAATTGGTAACAACATACTTACCTATAATAGGTTTAGGTCGTTTCATTTGGGACAACTTTCTTACTGTTTCTTAAAGTATTTAATTCTTGTACTAAAAAGCTAATTTAAGAAGCAATAAAAAAGCTGTCCCAAACCAAGCCTAAGTATCTAAATTACAAGGAGTTATATAAACTTTATAAGTTAAAATATTTATTAAAAAGAACTAAAAAACATGGCAGAGGCAATCAACAAAAGTAAGCTTTAGATCCAAGTTTTCTAAAAAATTTAAGAGTTCACATGCCCTTTTTTATATTTTTTTGAACTTTGAATAAGGATATCTTTCTTGCCCATCTAAGGCTTTACACTTAGAGACAATATATGAAATAAGCATACATGTGAAAAAGTTGGTGTAGCTATAATGGAGGATAAGATTAGAGAAAGTTGCCTTAAATGGTTTGGTCATAAAAAAGGAGGCTTTTCAATGACCCGATTAGAAAAGTAAATGTATTAGATCTAGATTATGTTAAGAAAGGTAGAGATAGACACAAAAAGATTTGGATATAAAATATTAGAAATGAACTTTCTTTACTAGATTTAAATAAAAATTTGACTCTTAACAGGGCACAATGCAGAAAAATGATTCATATAGCGACCCCACTTAATGGAATAAAAGCTTGATGTTGTTGTTGTTATTGTCAAATATGGATATCTTTCAGGTCCTATGCAGATTAAAATATAGTTATCCTCATTGTATTCTATATAATATCTTTATTAATTATTAATTAAACATATTTAGAGTTACTAATTTCAATTTATTTTCCTAGCAAATTCATATAAGCTAGAAAAAGCTTTTGAAAGTATAGATTTAGAAGCCCAGAATGCATGTGAAGGTAATTGAGCAAGTTCTATTGGTTTCTTAGGATTGTCTCCTTCCATATTTGTATTATCAAAATATCATCCTTTATTTTTATTTTTTTTTGTTATTTGCTTTCTTTTATTGCATAATCATGCATTTCATTAATCAATGCATGGGAGTTATTATGAGTTGCTCCCAAGAAGTAATATTTGTTTTGTCTACCATATTATGGATTGATTTAACTCTATAAGTGCTACCCCTATGTAATCTTGTTTTTATTATTCAACAAATAAAGAGCTTTATTTATTAAATTCATGTGGAGAGTATTGGTTCAATTTAAAAAATTTAGAACGCTTCATCTCCACTACAACACTTGATTTTTGGTGAGTTCAATAATTGTATCTCTTTTTGGTGTGTCGTACTATCTCTGAACCAAAATCATAAAACTAACTCTCTAAATATTCAGTAGCCCTTCTCAATGGCCTTGAGAAATCATCTCATAGCACTCATAGCCTTCATTTTAGCACCACTCCATTTTAACAACCTTAGAAAAGTTCATTTTTGGGTTTAAACTTCTAAAACCATATCCATCAATGCCCAATCATTATATCCTCCAACCCCTCTTCCATAAGCCTTCATAAATTTACCACCTCCTTTACACTTCTATTTTAACCATTATAAGCTATACATAACCTCTATATATAACTCCTTAATTAACCCTATATAAAGCCTAAACTAGCTTATGTGTGTAAAGTGTTAACCATTTCACCATGTCTCTTTTGGCTCTTTGCATGAAAAATGGGTTTTATCTATGAAAAAGTGGCCATCAAAAGGACGAATAGACTTACCAACAAATAGTGTGTTGGAATTTCCTGAGAGAATTTTTAGCAGAAATTTTGTCAAAAATTTTTTCGAACTTTACTGCCGGAAGTTTTCATCATCTTTAAATAGTCTGACAAAAATTTCTGAAGATCTTTTTTCCAAAAATTTATGGAAGAAATATCCACTGGAGTTCTATTGGAAAGGCTCTACCTTAGTGATTAGGTTTTATTTTTCTCTTCCCTGGCCTATAAATTTATTGCTCTTCAACTTTGCCTGCTTCGACAATGTCCCAACTTGTTTGTTCCTCTTTGACTTCACTTGCTTTGATGATGCCCTTGCTCTTTCACTTTGCCACCATTGCTGACATTCCTTCCTTATACAATTCTTTGCTCTTCGACTTTGTTTGCTTCATCGACATTCCTTCTATTTGGATTTGCCTAGTCATTTTGTTGTGGTCAATTTTTCTTATCTTTGCCTGTTCGTTGCTCTTCAACTTTGCCTGCTTCAACAACATTCCTTCCTATTCGGGCTCTTCAACTTTGCCTGCTTCATCGATGTCGAATCGATTTTTGTTTGTGTACCTCAAAATCTGAGTAATCCTAATTTATGTAAATCTCTTACTATATCTATTTTTGAGTGAGCGTGGTGAGCCACCAAATGCTTGTACCATGCACTATATAAGTGATAAGTAGATGAAAGCTGTCACATTGTACACATTGCTTAATTATGCTGAAGTTGAGTCATATATTGAGTACGTATAAGTTAATATTCCATACATTTGTACCACAACAACCCAAATTCAAAAAAATTACAAAAATTTTATTAATGGGTTGACTATGTCATTATCAGTAGAAGTTGAACAGGGAGTTGAAGCTAAATTTTCAAATTAGTTCAAAATTATGGTATGTATTTTGATAAGTCACTTCTACTTTATATTTTAGAATCAATAAAATAAGTGAATATGTTAATAACATAGCTACACTTGCTACAACAATCAGCTCCATACTCAAGCCAAAGATGTACAAGATCAAGGAGTAATGGACCTATGAGAGTAGTCAAATGCTGGCTAATTTTTATTGTCAATATAACCATATTTTAAACCAAAGATTGGTGTAAAGGATGAAAGACAAAAAATTGTGGTATATGGGTGATGATTATGAGTACTATAGGGTCTTATAGGAAGTACTACATATAAGAATCTCTGAAAAAATGGAACAACTTATATCTCTTTAATTATGATTGGTTTGATTCAGTGTAAAATAAAGGAACAAGAGTACATACACTTTATAGAATTACAAAAGTAAAGTGAGGTTGCAGAGATAGAAAGTATGACCCATTTGTCAATACTAGCCAAATAAGCCAAGTCTTCTTAGCTAACTATTCTGTTATGTATATTATTTCAATTTTTAGTATTTCATAGTTCAAGTTTTTTTTTTTAAACTAGTTAGTTCCTGCGTTCATATTAAGCACATGTTTTTTCCTTACAATATAATATACTTACATTATTTTCTATGTTATTTAATTTTTTGTATTTCATTATGTAAGTTATTTTTAGAACTAATATTTTATTTTTAGTTTTTATAGATGGCTTTTGGCAGTGATGTTCCCTTCCCCCTTCCCTTGACAGTCCATAGCGAACAAATTTAGGTGCAAGAAACTGAGTGATGTGTAATCCAGTAGAGCTAAAGGTATCGAGGGGACCTCTTCTTAATAACCCACTACCCATATCTAGTCGAGTCTGCCTTTTCCTACACCTCCCTATTGAACTCACTTCTATTTGAGATCACAAGGACCTACCTGGGCTCCCTCTTGGGTTCTTGATGATTGACAATCATAAAGGTCCCAGTCAAATTCCAATCGAGACTCTAATCAAATTCTAGTCCACCTTCCAGTTTAATTTTCAGTCCAGTTTTTAACTCCAAACTTTAGTTCAGCCTTTAAT